TTTGTTCTAAAATCATAAAAAAATTAAATACAACAAAAATCTAAAAATTTAAAATTCAACTGGCACACGATCGAAGACGTTATTAAATAATCGTTTAATGTTTCATATTTGTACGTTGTTTGATCAGTGAAACACGTCATTTGCATTTAACTCCTCGTATTCGTTTACGCTCGTTCAAGTCTGCCCAGAATATTAAATAAGTTTACGCGCGCGTTTATTGTTTTTGTTTTAGTTTATTTGTGGACAAAATGCGTGTTTTTTTGCCAGGAACATGTATTTATCGGTGGTCAGGTTTTTAATAACTATATTTTTTATAGAAAGTTAAACGGGATGTATTTTGTAGTATGTCAAGAGGGAAAACCCAAAATCTAAACACTCCTCTATGAGGAACACGCAAAATTGCGGTTTCTGTTTCTAGGAATTATGTAGAGGATAATAACGTAAACAACTTTTTGGGGGATTTTTCTCACATTGAGCTTATTTGAATTGCATAAAATTTACATTTAGAACGATTGTACGTGTGATTGTTTTATTGTTTGCTTTGTTCACTCGCTGATTTTTAATGTTGAACATGGATAATTTTAAAAGATTTCATATGAATTTGTGAGTTTTATATCTAAATTAGGATTTTTATTATATAAGATGTACTGTTAAGTTGTATGGACAAAATATAACGTACATATGTACTTAACATATTGGTTGCATATACAAACATAATATGTTTGTGGAAATCAATACTTTCAGATAAATTGGACTTTAATTTTGACTGTGAATTTCACCAGAACCGAAACTAGACCTCCTTGGAGTTAGTATTTACCAGATAACAAGGTACCAAATTGAAAAGTTAGAATTACTAAGAAAACTAATAAATTTTAAATAAAATTTAATCAAAAGTTTTTTTTAAAAACACTTCAAATATTTACAACAACTTTTTTATAATACATACTTCTTAATTTTATAAATGATATAGATCATTCTCTTAAAATCGATACTTTTATTATTTTTTCTTGCATCTTAAGTTCTCATCATTGTTGTCATGTGTTAAAAAAATCTTTATAATTTTTTTTTTGTGGAAAAAATTTAAAAAAGTCTGCCAGAAAAAATTAAGATAAAAAAGTGCTAAAATGTAACAAGATATTGATCTTAAGGAAGAAGTATCATGTCCAAGACAAAATGAACATCTGTTAAGATCTTAAGATATAATTATTTCCGTTTTTTGCCGACAAAAATATAGTTTGTCATGTCCGATAGTAACACACACAGACCCAGCAAGCAACGAACAATTGCTCTTAATTCAAAAAGTTGTTGAATATGCTCAGTGATCAGTGAAATTATCTTCCGAGTTTTTGTGGATAAAATTTTATCTCTTTGTTGTTGGCCACCACATAGGAGGTCATAAAACGGATACAAATTAATGGTTTTGTCATAAAATAAACTGTAATTAACACATAGGAGCAGTTAAATTCAAATGAAAATTTTAGCAATTCTTGTGAACAGAGAAAAAAAAAATAATTTTAAAAACATCCGCTCAGGTGGCTAACATTAATTTCTATTAAGTTGGATTCTTAAACAAATTACAAGTACTTTATTTATTTTAAAATTTCTAGGAAAATATATGAAGAATATATTTTAATTGGGATTTCTTAATTCTATTTCTCCAAAACTCATTCAATCTTTGAAGAAACATTGAACTTCTGTTAAAAATAAAAAAAAATATATATTTCACATTTGTGGTAATTGATCTCTTTTATCTTCCAATATTGAACAGAAGAGACGAAAAAACACACACAGTGCATTCATCTCATATGTAGTATAAACTGGACAAAAAAGTATAAAAAACCTTCATCTTCATTTAACACTTTATGTCTGGACAAAATTACCTTTTGTACCAAACTTTCTGACTGACCATACCCAATAAAAGAAACGTACGTTTTTTTTTTAATTTTAAACAATATCATGATGTTGATTATGATAATAATGATGAAGAATTGAGGTTATTAACATACAACTGTAATTTGATATAGTCAGAAGGTAGACGACCGTTTCCATCTCTGTTTTTTTTTCTTCTTCCAAAAACAGCTGATTCTTTTATCGTACGGCTTGACTGATGTCGATGATGATGTGTGGCGTGGCGCAGGGTAATAAGTGAGTGAGTAGCTTTAATGACCCCTGAATGCTATTCATTTTGTCTTGTAATAGTCTCCTCGTTACCCTTTTAAATGCACTTTCAATTCAAACTGTTAAATTTTGTTTAAAAATTCCATAAATTTCGTCATCAAACTTTATTACTGTAAAAGTTTATAGATTGATTGTTTATAATATTGTCTATTTTAATGTATTATTCAGACTATAAGTTCACTGTCTTCTAGCTTTGTACAACTAAATAAATAAATTTCATTAATATGTAATAAACTTATGATTTTTTCGCAATGAAAACTAAGTTAGTTTAGCTGTATGGTATACCATATGATGGTACACACCGGAGGGCATGTTCTACCATAGTTTCATAATTGTTATACCCACAAAATTGACACAGCTTTCAAACAATTATCGAAATTTTTTTTCATTTTTTTAAAAAATTATTTTTTTTTTTTTTCACTTAATTTAATTTTATTTAATTATGAAAATCTCAATAACACAAACACATACATATGTACGTAACAAAAATCTAATTTCATATTACAATTTTATCATTAAAAAAAAATACTTTTAGTACTGGAAATTATTATTGGTGCTATATATAATTTATTTATTAATACACGACTTTAATATACGACATAAACCATAAACATTTAATGATACAAAGAGAAATACTAAAACTATAATTTAATATTTTATTCCCCAAGAGGTGTGTCTCAACTTGCATAATTTACACTACTGTTTATTAACACGAAGACACTGCTGGTGACAAACTAAATTTATTTATGGTCAAAAAGAATGAAAGAAAGAATCCTTGAATCCAACAAGACCAATTTACAAGCGGAACATTCATACTTGCACTTGTATCTGAAACTCAAAAAAGAAAGATAAACGAACAAAGAAATAATTTATGCAAAAAAAAAAAAAATATGTGTCTGTAATTGTTAGCTGGTTACATACAAACCTTTTTACCTAAAAACTAAAATGCACAGAGGACTAACCTGGTTACCTAATAAAAAACCGGGCCAAAAATAAAAATATATAATGCTGTTTTACCAAAAAAACAAACATCCTATCAAGAAGAAAAACGGAAGTTAAGGAAGAAAAAGAAGAACGAACGAAAGAATACCAACACTATAAGCCGGTTGAAACAATGTTCATAATTCAGTTGTTGTTGTTAGTTCAAGCTTAAAGTTTGTTGCAACTCCTACATGTTTGTTATGAAAAATTAATATAAATATTCAAACAGTAGACAGAAATGTTTAAGGAATATTTGAAACACGTGACTGATTTCTTCTTAAAATATGCTCGTGTAATAATGAACATGAAATATGCCAATGGGTAGAAACTGAAAATAATATACTGCAGAAGACTTTTCAATTAAATTCTAGACTATGACTAGACTAGGACCTAGACTATGACCTAGACTATGACGAGACTATGACTAGACTATGACTAGACGATGACTAACTATGACTAGACTATGACTAGACTATGACTAGACTATGACTAGACTATGACTAGACTATGACTAGACTATGACTAGACTATGACTAGACTATGACTAGACTATGACTAGACTATGACTAGAATGACTAGACTATGACTAGACTATGACTAGACTATGACTAGACTATGACTAGACTATGACTAGACTAGACTATGACTAGACTATGACTAGACTATGACTAGACTATGACTAGACTATGACTAGACTATGACTAGACTATGACTAGACTATGACTAGACTATGACTAGACTATGACTAGACTATGACTAGACTATGACTAGACTATGACTAGACTATGACTAGACTATGACTAGACTATACTAGACTATGACTAGACTATGACTAGACTATGACTAGACTATGACTAGACTATGACTAGACTATGACTAGACATGACTAGACTATGACTAGACTATGACTAGACTATGACTAGACTATGACTAGACTATGACTAGACTATGACTAGACTATGACTAGACTATGACTAGACTATGACTAGACTATGACTAGACTATGACTAGACTATGACTAGACTATGACTAGACTATGACTAGACTATGACTAGACTAGACTATGACTAGACTATGACTAGACTATGACTAGACTATGACTAGACTATGACTAGACTATGACTAGACTATGACTAGACTATGACTAGACTATGACTAGACTATGACTAGACTATGACTAGACTATGACTAGACTATGACTAGACTATGACTAGACTATGACTAGACTATGACTAGACTATGACTAGACTATGACTAGACTATGACTAGACTATGACTAGACTATGACTAGACTATGACTAGACTATGACTAGACTATGACTTGACTATGACTATACTATGACTAGACTATGACTAGACTATGACTAGACTATGACTATACTAGTAATTTACTTTTCATGTTTATTTTGATTTAATTCTTTAAAACTTCCCATAGTGACAATAATATTATTCCATTACTTTATAGTTGTAAGTTGCTAATGACGAAGAAGACCCTTATAATGGTTGCACTGTTGTTGTGTTTATGTTTGAAGTCTTTCGTCGAACTTGTTGCAATAAAGAAAATTGTGTTTATGTCATACCAAAAAGGACATTGTTCGAAGCGAAGGCATGCAATAAAACCGACAAAAAAACACAACTACCACCGAATGGGCTAACACAATTTTCCTTTCATTATCGTTTCATGTTGTATTTATTTCTTATATATGAGGGCAACTTCAATGAGTTCGATTGTTAGTTGTTAAACGCATTTTGGACAACAAACTGTAAATTGTTGCGGAGTTTTGTGTCATTTAAATAAATACTATATTCTGACTTTTAACAGGACATTAAATTTTTGAAAAATATCATTAAGTCAGTATCCAATACAAAGTCAAAGTTAGAAGTTATGAATAACATAAATAAACGGTTAAATATTAAAATTCAAATTAACATTATTTGACAATTGGAATTAAAAACATTAAAAAAAATAAAAACAATTAAGGACTATTTTACGTGTGTGAACGTCTGAAATAAAAAACTAAAAGGTATTAATTAGTTAATTAACTTAATTAAGAAATTTGTAATACAAAAATTCAATATTCATATAGTGCCTCATAAAATCGATATTGAAAGTGTTTTTGTTGTTGTTTAGTTGCAAACTTTTAAATTGGATTGTGTTTATATGAATGTGTCTCTATGTGTATTGGTGTGTGCAGTGTCGTGTAGTGAGTGCATTTGGGATTTTTGTGTAATTAAAGTTGCACAAATGAATCCATGTAGTGTTGCATTGTGTACTCTAATTGCACTTATACTGTGTACTGGTGTTTCTAACTTTTAATATTGTTAACAACTGGTATTGGTTAAAATGTTTCATTTCTAGTTGTTTTGTTTTCATTTGGTATTTAATTAATGTTTATTATTACAATGAATTCATGTTGATTTTTCAACTGAAATACAAATTACTTATATTTAGCAGCAGACAGCAGATATTTGACGGTTGGTGGTAATGGCGCTGGCGTAGGTGTTGGCGTTGAGGGTCGAATCTGTAGTTGTTGTTTTCCTTGTATCCTTAAATTGTGTTTGTTTAGTGTTTGTTTTACAACAAAATTATTGTTATAAATTTCCTGCAATCATTTCAAATTCTAAGACTCAGACTGCTAACACTTTCCTCGATATTCTTAAGAAACATTAAGGCCACAGGATTTCTTCCTTTTAGTCTACATACAGTACAAGTCAGTGATGGTATTCATATACATACATATGTATATGTCGACGTAGTATTTGAATATACATATTGTAGGGTTTGCCTTAATATTGTGTATTTTGCAATTAGTAGTAATTGTAGTAGTTGTTGCTGTTAGAGTCCTAAGAAATAGAAAATTTGTTGACGTTGTTGTTCTATAATGATAATAATTGCGTTGTCTTTAAGAAACAAACCCTATGATATAGTTGTTGTTTTCATTTTATATTTGTTTATTTTCCAAAATGTAAACAAATTATATACAATTTATTTTCATAAACACTCTTGCATACAATACATACATACATGCAGATAAACGTTAGATATAAACTCTTACACAAATACATATATTCTATATAAAGTACATACAAAAACAATCATGTCACCTCTACATTTAGTATTTTACTATATTTAATGTATATCCTATATGGCATTAAAACTGTCATTCTAAGACACCTTTGGTTGGCTTTTCCTCTGTTACGGTTTCTATTTGTGTGTGTATTTAAGTTTTAGGTGTTAATTTAAATACTAAGTCATTTCAAGGCAACAATACCATTAGTATGTATTAAATATACATTTTTAAGATGAAAAAGAAATCGTATTCGTGTATGTTAAAAATACAAATTCCTTTCAAGTTTTTTGTTAAAGTATGTATGTATGCGTGTTGTGGGAAGAAAAGGATATTAAGCTAAACCGTTAAGCAATAACAGCTTACGTTTGCAGTGCAAATATTTCATTTATCTCTATAACATTTAGTATAATTGCAGCACATTTCGTAAAGTAGCTACTATAAAACACACATTAGTGTCCTTTAGAAAAAAAATGTTTTATTTTGTTCTCTTTCTTATATGACACGTACATGAGCGATGGAATCTTTGACAATATCTCAACCTAATTATGGTAATATTAAGAAAAGCAATATGTTTCGATACCTTAAGGCAACAACAATTGATTCTTAACAACATAATGAAAACACCAGGCGCAATGCATTTAAATTGCTAAATGGATGAATGGTTAGATTAATATAAAATCTTAAGGGTGGCATAAATTGCAACTGTTTTATGTGAAAAAGTAGGTGTCTTTTTTAATATATGCTCAAATGAGGGTTATACTGAGAATATATTATTATATATTTTTGTTTGTGTTAAAATATTATAGCTTTAAAATAAAAATATATTTAATTTGAAATACAAAGTATAAATTTGCAACAATTCGTAGTAATAAATTATTACAGATGCCTTTAAGTATGCAAGATGTAAACAAAATAAATTAGTTCTTGGAATATTCTTGAAAATTTTTAGAAAAGATTTTGATAGTTATTTATTAAACAATATAGATAGCTTAGGCAATTTTGAACCGAGATGTGGTTTTAAAATATTTCTAGCACATAGAACCTTTACGCAATATACATTTTAAATAATCTGAACTCGATCCGCGCTGCTGGTCCTACATACTTATTTTGAAAGGTTGCCTTTTTTAAAAGGTTTTGCTCATTTGCATATACTATGTATAATAATTAGTGATTGTTGTTTCCACCTTCACTACTTCACTCTTTTTCCCTTATTAACTAGAATAATTAAAATCTATAAAAATTACTATTAAAATGTTGCTAAAATTAATAATATTCTGTTGCACTCATATTATGTTTGTTTATTTATGTATTTGGTTGCAAGTATATATATGTACATGGAAAATTTAAATGGTTTGCAAGTGCAACTACAATGTTGAAATTCTGTATATAGAAAATATTTTTCAACAATTCTTGCATTTATACCTCCTTTTTGCGATTTCCCTTAAATTTAGTTAATTAAAAAATTTTGTTTTATTTAGTTTTTGTGGTATTTTCATATTTTCGAACTTTTTTTTTGCAACTTTTATTAAATTAATTTGTATCTTGACCTCGATAAGAGTTCTTTTGTAAACTCTTTTTCTTTATTTACTTTTTGTTATGATCAAAAACAGACTAAATATAAATCATAATTTCCCAAAAGTTTTTCTATTGTTTTGTTATTGAATTTTTTAAAAAAAGATAATAAACCATAAATCAAAGTGGCGCAAAAGTTATTCTAAACAAATTATCAAATCTACACCCTATTAATCGTTTGGTATTGTTATAAATTTGTAATGTTTCATCAGATATGGGATTGATGTTCTAATGCTGGTGGCTAACAAAAACCTTTTTCAATTAAATGTTGTTGTTGGTTTTTTTTTTACTAGTTTAGAAGCTATTATTTTAGAAATGTTCTAAAACTTTAACTGATAAAATCAAAATATTGTAAAAGATACAGATACTTAACCATGTCTTTTAGAAAGAAACCCAGTTATTTCTTTTATTTTTCTGCAAAAAAATATGTACTCAACAAAATTAATTCTCTTGCATGAAAGAATTTCAAAATCCTACTCGTATCTGTGCGTGCAACTATGAGGGTGAATGTCATTGCCAAATGTTGAAACAAAAAAAAAAAAAAAAAAAAAAACAAAAAAAAAGTAAAGAATATAAAAGTACAAGTACATGTGTTAACAACATACCAAGTAGTTTAGTCTGCAAAATACAAATATTCGCGTGTAATTTATTTTAATTAGGAAATTTAATTGACGGTAAAACAGTAGAAAAAATCTCAAAATCCCTGAACTTTCTAACACTTTTTTGGTATAACATTTAAAGTTCTTTTCCCTTTGTCAGTTAGACTTAAGTAAGATACTTGTATGTATATTTAAATTCTAAATAAATATAAAAAGTTTGAAAAAAAACGTGAGTCTTAGATCATTTATTTAAAATTGTACTCCCACATTAGTAGTTTTCATTGGCCTCATGTTAATACAAGACCTTGTAAAGTTGCATAAATAAATGGTGCGTTTAATTTTAAACTTTTTCTATCTTATTTTCTACTACATACCGCAACACAGCAGGTGATTTTTACTGTTTATAAATGTGTGTGCTTTTTTTTTTAAAGGAAAACATGTTTTTTTTTATAAAATAAGAATTATATAGTAAAGTTTTCTATATAATAATGATAATGTCGATATTTTATTGACAGTTTGTGGAAGATTTCAAAGAAAAATGTTAAGTTTATATGTACAAATGTAAAAAGAATTTCTATGACATGACAAGTCAATACATATAAATATTTAATAAATGAATCAATGTCATTAAAAATCTCTGTATCTTTCACACACACACCAACAAACCTATATGTATGTTGGCTGATGTGAAATCTAACTTTTCATGTCATTTACTGTTTCCTGTACACAAACCGGATCTAACAGGATTGTGTGTGTGTTGTATTCATATGTTGGTTAAACACAAATACATACATATGTATGTATAAAATATATGTATTACAACTATAATTGTCTATATAATATAGCTATACGTACACTTATTCAATTTCATTTCCATTATTTTTTCAAGTGTGAAAGACAGATGAAAAAAAGTTAAACTGACTGAATTTATCCGTAATCGTTTATATATTTTTTTCCATTTGAATAATAAAATTTAATGATAATTTTCTCCCACTTTTCTTTATGTTTTATACATTTTTTTTGCATTTATAAAACTTTTTTCTTTCGTTTTTTCTCTCTCTACTTTTGTCTTTAAATTCAACTATAAAATTCAGTTTTTTATATTATTTTATTCTTTTTTGTAATTGTTGTTTTTTTTTTGTTTTGTTTTCTTTGTCATAATAAATTTTACCACCTTTTGTCTAATAAAAAAAAAAAAAAAAAACAATTTTCATTTTCTTTTCCTTTAATTTTATTTTTTTTACTACATATTAATGTCGTCATGTCGATGACGCATTATTTAGGTGGCCAAGGTACTCCCTAACCGCTCAAGTCTAGTTAATTGACTTTTTTCCACTACTAGTTTTACTTGCTTATTTAGTTAGTTTAGTTATATTAGTTAGTTTTGTTTTGCTGTTAAATAGAAAAGGCACGAGCAACACATATAAAATAAGTTTGAAAACCAAAGGTCTTATTTAGTAAGTTTAAGTTGTGGGTGCTTAGTGTGTAATAGTAGTTTATAATTAAATCGATTGAAAAATGATTAAGGTGTAGTTTCAAGGTCGATTGTCTTTATTTGTAAGAGTTTTACAGTGCAATTTTCTATTAAGAGAACAACAATAGCGGCTATTTATTTATTTTGTATTAGAATAGGAAGGTTTTATTTACTTTTTCAAAAGTTGAAATTTCTAAATCTTTTCGTAGACATTATTATCAATTCAAGCCAAAAAAGTATTTTGGTATATTTTAAATTCTCTAAACTCAAATCAATTTATGGAAATTGTCTATACATATTTAGCACCT